AATTTAAATCTACCCTCTTTCAGTTTAAAACCATTATCCCTTGTCCTATCACTACACTCCCTGATAAACAGTCTTTCCCCATCTTTCCTGTAGGCCCCCTTTAAGTACTGGAAGGCTGCTATAAGGTCTCCCTGGAGACCCTTATCTCCCAGCACAACATCACCATAACTGGCCTCTCCTCTGTCCCTTACCACAAGGGCTTACCCAAACTGTTGCCCATCCCATAGAGAATCTCCATACACATCCTGCCTGATCTTCCCAGCCTTTCTCTCCTGTACCTATCCATTGCAGACCACCAGTTGTGCAAACTCTCCCACCATGCCTTGGCAGTTATTTCATCAACGTCAAAGCTCTGTGATGGAACATGGGGTTCCAGCTCCTCCTGTCCATGCCTCTGGCTGAAGGCACTGGTACACCTCAGCTGTGGCACCAGGGCCAAGCTCTCACCTGCTATGGGGAAGCCTGCTACCAAGTGCCTAAGACCATGTATAAGCAAAGACTTTGCTTCAGAGCAGAGACATGCTGGCATAGATGGCAGATGGCAATGTACGGCTGAAATAAGGTGTGCACAAAGAGAGCAAACCCTGCTGTCTACCAGGCCAGAGAGAAATAGTGTTTGCACTCTGTGATGTCCCGCAGGCCCAGAGGGCCTGTGGTAGAGGTGAAGATGATCTCCAGGAAGGACAAGGTGCTGCTGAAAATGTCCTTGGATACAGACAATCTTTGACACAGGAACAGTGTGAAAATCAGTGGCCTGTTCCTTGATTTTATTATCCAGGGGATTACTAAAGCATGCAGAAGAAGCACTGCCTGCACCTACTGGATAGGGATGGGACAGGCCTTGCCTCACAGCAGTGGTGGGAATCAGTCACTTGCTCATAAGCACCAAATCTGTCTGAGATGACCTGGGGTATCTGTTATGTACCAGCTCTGAATGGGGATAGTTGTCCATACGTCCTGCACTGCCCTTGTCAGCTGTGTGCTCCAGTTGTGGTGGATGGTTTTGGTATCTGAATTAGCACCAAAGGCCTGTATTTGGCTAATAAATTCAGCAGCTGGACTGGATTAGGTGAAGCAATGTAGGGGTGTCCATGAGACTACTGCCATTATAGTCACTGGACATCTAGTAAATATAGCTAATGGAGAAGAGAAAGAGAGAGACTGAGCACTCTCTCTCTGGCACATGACTCGATTTGCTCAGATTAATACCTCTATCAGCTGAACATAAGGATTATGTTCATAATAAAGTTTAGGGACAGGTTCACTTGTACTAAATGTGGGCATCTGCTGGGCCAAAGGGATTTCTCACCAGCCTCCAAGATGCTCTCATGCTGTCCCATCCCTCAGAATTGCTCCATTAGAGCTTGCAGTTACCTGCACACATTTTGGATCACTTCCTGCCCCTCAAATGTTACCAAGTGTTTGCATCTCAACAGCTCACTCCTGACTTCCACCTCCATTAATTAGCATGGGAGCTGAGACAAGCAGTTCACATGCAGGTGCCCATTTTGTGCACACCTGAATTGAGGCAAGAGGAATCTCACCTCCTGCAGGTTTGTGGCAGGCTTTGGAGGGAGCTGAGTCCCCTTCCAGCCCCAGGATTACAAACCCAGGAGGAGATGCCTTGATTGACTCAGCTGAATCCCTTTCCTCAGCACAAATAAAGGAGATCCCTCCTTGTCACTGTCTGGGTGTCTTGTCTAATAGTAAGACAAGAAAAGGTGATTCTTTGACCTAACTGTCTCTGATAGGAGAAATGACACTGCTGGAAATAAGTGTCTCTCCCCAGCTAAGGGAGGGAACATCAGTGATTACTTCAGTCTCTTTCACAGCAGGTTCCCCTGGAGCCCCAGGGACACTTCAAGGGAGCCCAGAGGGGGCAGAGAAGGTGATGCCTTGGGCTGGTGCTCTGCTCCTGAGCTGGGATGGGCTTCTGGGATGGAGGGAGCTCATGGCAACCTGGCAGCGCTGCAGAGAGACAGCTCTGCCCAGGAGCATCTCCTCTGCAAAGGGCAGCAGGACTGAGGGAACTGAATGGATGTTGCCAAAGGCAGACGAGTGGGGCAGAGGGACATTAAGGCAGTCTGGGGTGGAAGGACAGAAGAGAGGTTACTGGGGGAGAAATCTTCTCAGCCCTTCACATGGTAAGTCTCTGGCAGCAAGGCAAGGTGCATGAGTAACCTGGAGGGGTGTCTTAGAGGTGGCACATCCCCAGGCAGATATGATCTGGCAGGATGGCTCTCAGGGTTTCCTTAGTGTGGAGGAGGACATGATCCAGAGAAGGGTTTCCTTTCCGCACTGTCAGAGGGACAGGGCACAATGGCTCCCTTCTCCCAGGGATGGCTGCAGGGGTGTGCAGCCAGGTGTGAACCCAGGGGTGCCCAGGGCTGTCCTTCAGAGCAGGGTCCCTGCACCCTAGGGGGCCGTGTGCTGGGGCAGGAACTCTGCTGCCTGCTGGGGTCAACATTCAGCCTGCCCAGGGAGCTCCCCACGAGGCTCTGGGGAGAATCTGTGGGTGGAAGGCAGGGTCCTTCTGCTTTCAGGAGGGTGCTGCATGGAATCAGGTCTGCTCACGACTCCAGATCACCCCCAGGACATTTCTGAGGAGACTTTTCAAGAAGCACATCAAGGTAGGGGCTACTGGAAAAAGAAGAAGCTTTCCTGACTTTTTGCCTGGTTGTCTGAGTTTTGAGCTGGAGGTTGAAATTCTTGTTTCCACTCTAGAGTAGGCTTTGAGACTCCCAATCTCTTACACTGAGAGATGAATAAATCTGTCAGAAGCACCTCAAAGCACCGTAACCCAACTGCCTCCAGTTACAACCTCCCTTTTACAGACACATCAGGATTCCTGTGACCTGCTCCTTAGCTCCTACAGACACAGAGGTGCCCCTGGGCAGTGTCTTGCCCCTGGGAGGTTTCTGCAGTGCAGAGCGAGTGTGATGGGAAAAGACAGAGAAACAGCTACAGGCGCAAACAGCTCCAGGCAGAGGAGATATGTCAGGGGAGGAGAAGAAAGTGCTGTCAAAAGTGCTGTGGTGGGTGGATTTGGGCAACTCCCTGTCAGTTCCTCCAGTGTAGATGCCTTCCCCTGAGCAAGCTCCCTGGTCCCCTGTCTCACCCACAACAGCTTCTACCATGAAGACAGTGGTGGCCAGGGCATGAGCTGCCTCCTCTGCAGCCAGAGCTTTAGCAGAGAAGAGGTGCCTCTCTCCTTACACATGCCTGTTTCCTCCTGCATGACAGAGGGCTTAGAGTGACTGCCCAGCAGTGCCAATGTCTGGGGAAGTGTGCACAGCTGGGTAAGGTAATGACTTTCCAGAGTGTTTGCCTCTTTGCCTTCCTCGGCATGAGCATCATGGTATTTCTCCATGTTTCTCCACCTGCCCATGCTGCTGCTGTTATTGTTTTCAGGCACTCTGGGGATGGGGGTTTCAGCTGCAGTTCAGACCCTGACCCTGACCATCCTGCCACAGATGTGTCTGCATGGGAATTAGGTGTCCCAGCCCCCTTCTGACTTCTGGGACCCCAAGCAATGCAGTGTGTAGGGGCAGAGAATGCGCCAACTGTCCCTTCAGAAGATCCCATCTTTTACTGCCTCCCTGTATTTTAATCTGTTGTCATTGGGGCAATGCAGTCAATGGGGTTTAGGAAATAAGCAGACTCTCTCTGAAAGCCACACCACCTCAGGACACTTGACTGTCTCCCTGCAGTGTCATGTCAAGCTGTTCTCCACAAGGGTGCAGTGCTCCCATAGCATCTCTGTGCTATCTAAGAGCCTGACAAGTGAAGCAGTGAAGATACTGAGGCTGTGGAAATGCTGCTGGGCTTTTTCCAGCATGGGTAGCTGGTCGGATGATATGAGCCCTGCGTGCTCTTGGCTAGAGAGGGAGTGTTGAGACCTCAGTCAGGTGTGGACACAACACCCCAGAGTGCTTGGTCTGGTCATCTGAGTGAGATGAGACACAGTCGTTCTGTGTCACTCCCTGCACATCTAGGCTGATAATGAAAGAGAGGAGTTTGGAGAGCCACCCTTTGGATCTGGAAACCCCTGCTCTCTCTAGGTTGTTGTTTTTTTAGAGTAACTTCTGAGTGTGATCATCTTCCAGCTGAGAGAGGCAGAATGGGGCAGCTGGGAACAGGACTGATGGAGAGACCAGCTCTCCTGACTCTGCACTAAGGCACAGGGAACCCTTTTGCCTCTCATAGCTCATTAGTGTTCATGCTGAGAGAAATCCAGAAGCTGAGGATTTCTACCTCTTCAACAAACACTTCCCCCAATGTGACAAGGGCATCTAAAAATGAAGTGTATCACTAAATTGCTGTGCTACAGCCCATCATCTGGAGCACAGGGCAGGAAGATGCCGAGCAGCCTTCCTCTATGATGGGTGCACCTCTCCTGAGGGAGGATGTGCACATAGTGATAGTCCACACCTGCTGCTCTCTTGTGATCATGCCTGCCATCTTGTGATCATTTACCACCAGGAGGGTGGTAAATTGATGGGTGGGCAGGGTATGTCTCAGTGGTGGTTGAACCAGACCCGGGAACCTCTGTTTAGAAGGGTAAAATGATAAAAGAGAAATCCCTCCCAGGGCACTTTTCCAGAGCCAGGGGGCCTGAGTACTAATTTAATCTCTCCCTGCAGGACATGAAGACTATTCCCACAGGGTCACTGTATCCAGGCTCCTGCACTCAGCCCAGGGTGTCCATCCTCAGTGAACTCCTCGATATACGGGGTTTTTTGCCACTTCAGTGTACAAGTTGCTGTAGAGCAGGTCTTACTCCTGGGGAGCAATCAGTTGAGGCCCCTGCTCCTCATGCAACACTCAGACATTACAAATCAGAACTTAAGGGAGGAAGAAACATGAAGGGAGTCTTGAGAAGAAGAGAGGTGATATGAGAGGTTTCTGTAAGAAACAGAAGAGGTTTTCTCAGAGAAGCCTGCCCTAAATTGTCAATGTCTTTTCCTCCTTGGACAGCACCTGAGTTCTGGAGGGACCAAATGTCGAATGGCAGCTCCATCACCCCGTTCCTCCTCCTGGCATTTGCAGACACGCGGGAGCTGCAGCTGTTGCACTTCTGGCTTTTCCTGGGCATCTACCTGGCTGCCCTCCTGGGCAATGGCTTCATCATCACAGCCATAGCCTGCGACCGCTGCCTTCACACCTCCATGTACTTCTTCCTCCTCAACCTCGCCCTCCTCGACCTGGGCTCCATCTCCACCACTCTCCCCAAAGCCATGGCCAATTCCCTCTGGG